ACGTCAGTTTTGAAAATGATAGTCAAAGTAGTCGATAGGGACGGAGAATGATTTAAGACGTTCTGCGATCCTAAATCACTCTATATACACCGATACCTGTAGAAAAATGTTAATTCCACAGATAAAATAGTAAAAGGATAGAATGCTTATCTAGCACCAGTGTATCGGTGACAAACGAGCTTGGTAGCTTCCTATGCTTGAAGGAATCCACCGGATGACGTCTGTTGAAACGCTTTCCATGCCTCAGGAAAGCTGACTGATGAATTTGGTAGCTTTCTAAGCCTGAAGAAATCTACCAGATGATACTTTCCATGCTTGAGGAAAGTCGATATATGATTTTGGCGTTTTTCTATGCTTGAAGAAATCCACCGATAATGCTTTCCATGCTTGAGGAAAGCCGACTAAGAAATTTGGCGGTTTTCTATGCTTGAAGAAATCCACCGGATAATACTTTCCATGCTTGAGGAAAGTCGACATATGATGAGATTGCAAGTCTCTGTGTATCGAGAACCTTGCGTCATGAAATGATGGTGGTTCGATTGTCCCCGAACGTGGGCTGTAGATGGTCCGCTTGTCCTCGAACGTGGGCTGTAGTTGGTTCGCTTGTCCCCGAACGTGGGCTGTAGATGGTCCGCTTGTCCCCGGACGTGGGTTGGTTGTAAATGGTCCGCTTGTCCCCGGACGTGGGATGTAGATGGTCCGCTTGTCCCCGGACGTGGGCTGTAGATGGTCCGCTTGTCCCCGAACGTGGGCTGTAGATGGCCCGCTTGTCCCCGGACGTGGGCTAGTTGTAAATGGTCCGCTTGTCCCCGGACGTGGGATGTAAATGGTCCGCTTGTCCCCGGACGTGGGATGTAAATGGTCCGCTTGTCCCCGGACGTGGGTTGTAAATGGTCCGCTTGTCCCCGGATGTGGGATGTAATTGAGACCTACAAATTAAAATTTTCCAGGGGACTCGTATAGACTATGATTGACTTGACCAACTGACTTGACCAAGTTTGACTTGACACGACATGTCATGACATGAGTATGACTTGTGATTGTGTGTGTATGTTTGAGTGTGTGTGTGTGCAGACACAAACAACTGAAAATGCAAAAGCAAAAATTTTCCGTCAATTTTTGTCATGAATGGAGGGTACCGACTTTCTCCCGAAAAAGAAAGACATGAAATTTTATTTTCGAACTTCCCTCGATAAAAAATTTGAAAAAGTTTTTGAACTTCCCCAAAATAAAATAATGAAAAAGGGAAGAAGTTTTGAACTTCCTCCTCGAGCAAGACGAAATGAATTGTATGGATCCAATTGCTTGTCCTGAAAATAATGTATGCATGATGCATGTTCTTAAGCCAGGAGGCTAAGGACAATTACATCATGTGACACGATAGATGAATGAACTTAAGTCTTGGAGCTAAGCATCATTTATGGTGTAAAGAAACGATCTTGAACGTCACTTAGGTCTGGAAGCTAAGCACGTATACAAATGAAGTGATTATTGCATAATGAACGTTGCTTAGGTCAAGGAGGAAAGCACAATATGCTGTGTATGATTAAAAATCATTGATATATAAATGTTTCTCAGCACATTATGCGATGCACGAAACAATGAATATTGCTCAGGTCAGGAAGCTAAACAAGTATACAACGTTTCTTCTAATGAATGTTATCTTGAAAGATGATGAAGCATGCGCGGTAAGGAAATAAGATTTCATGATAAAGGGTTCATAAAGGGAAGGATGATATGGATATGGATGTGTGAGTGAAGTGTGTGAATGTGATACTAAGGCTGGTTGCAAGGGTTATGGCGATGGAAAGAGATGTGAGAAGAGTCAAAGATGATGACTCTTTAGGCTAAGTAGGCTAAATGATGTGGGTTCAAGCCCCCAAGTCTAGATCTAAATGGGTAGGGGTAAGCATTGGATATTCTTTGACTCGATCATGCATGGATATGAATATGAATGTGGTCGCATCTCGATGTGAGGTTGCCTACGTATCCGTTAGGAATCAGGCCGAACGTAGCTCTAAACAAACTTTGCACAAGTGTATGTACACCTCAAAGAGGTCTTTCAAGGGTTGTAATGTGGTTAAGCTGGTGGTTTAAGGAAGAACGGGGTAAAAGGCTCAAGATTCGAGAGAAGCCCCCAAGATGTGTAATTGTGTATTTGAAAATTTGGACTTTGCAAGTTTATTTTCAACTTTTTTTTTGTTTTGAATTTCTTTTTTGTTTTTTTTTATTCTTTTGAATCAATGTAGACAATCTCAGATCATGCGGTCCATCACTCACTTAGCATTCATGTTTCTCAACCACGGTACCAAACACTCGATGAGAGACGCAATTTGAGACGTGTTCATATCAAAGACATTGGAACACTTGCCTTTAGACATTGTTTTATTGTTGCTTTGCTGCTTTTTTTTTGTTACATGCTTTTTGAATGTTATACAATTACACATCTTCCAATCCTAGGGTTAAGTGAATGTGGGTTGAAGAAATGAAGGCCAAACGTTAGACGAGGCTCAAAATGGTTGATGAAGAAATGGAATGTGATTGAACGGTTATCAGGGAATGACATGGTTGCAAAGGTGCCTCAAGTAATTGGTGTACCTTGGGTTTAGTTCGGTAATTGATTTTTTTATTGAGAATGAATGAATGAATGAAAAATTCTATGATCGAGATGTAAAGGAAAATTGCTCATTTTATTAATGGAAAAGGTGAACGAAACACATGAAACATATAAAAATTCAAAATGGAAAACCTATGCTAGACATGAATGGGGAATGGAGATGAATGATAAAGAAAGAAATCATGAAATCTTGCACGAAGGATCTGCTGTGCGCCTTGTGTTCATTACTTTTTGCCGCCTGGAGGGACAGGAAGTTTGTTTGCATCCACCAAGTCTTGAATGACGTCCTTCAAATTCCAACATTGCTCCGTAGTGTGGCCCCTTCCTTGATGGTACTTGCAATGGGCATTGGGATTCCATTTGGCTCTGGAAATGGCCCAATAGGTGTGATCAAGCCTTGACTGTAAAGGCGATCAAAGGTCGCATCATAAGTCATTCCTAAAGGAGTGTAAGTTCTTTTCTTCTTGGGCAATGGAGTATCAAGAGCTAACACTTCATTGAGATCAACTTGGCTTATATTGTTGGTAGTATTTTCGTGCTTAGAAGACGAAGAAGAAGGATGGTCGTTCTTCTTGTTTTTCCAAGTGTTATTATTGTTACTACCAACAATCTTTATTAGCTCATCCTCGATATTGATGCCGATGTCGTATACAGCTTCGAAAGTGTTCAGTGGAAGAAATTTGAGATGTTCCCTATATTTATGAGTCAGATTTTGAATAAAGAGGCGAACCATCTCTCTTTCTTTGGGGGGATCTACCAAGAGTGAAGTTGTTTCCCTCCACCTGTTCAGGTAAGCGGTGAAGCCTTCATTCTCTTGTAACGATTCCCGCCAGACGGGAATGATTCCCGTGACACGGTGGGTACCAGCCGTGGCGCGGGAATTCCCAGCCCGCTTTTCCGTCTAAACACATTTTTAACCCTAATTTCATTCGGCATTTTAAGTGCCGATTGATAATTTCGGGCCTTTTTCGACTTATTATTATTTGGGCTAAAATAAGAAAATAATAAAATAAAATAAATAAAAGGTTTGAGCTAAAAATTAAATAATAAATTTGGGCTGAAATTAAAACTATGCTTTTACCAAACATCAAGACTAATCCATGGACTGTTCAAAAATATGAATTTAATCAAATACGATTTTTTAAGCACTCTCGGGATTAAATACTGAACCCGACCAATAGTGGCGGTGAAAGGTTGTTCATCATCGGGTTTGGTTTTGGGGAGACATTTTTAGGTGTCTACAAAGAGTATGCAGCCAAATGTGTCGCAGACCTGTGCAGAGAGAATCCTATTTACGAAGACAGTAAAGATAGTGAGGGAGGCCTACAAGAAATGATGATGGATGAAATTATGAATGCATGAGCCCACACCAGCAATAATTCAAGGCATCTTTACTGTAGCCACGTTTTATTAATTGTTTCTGTCTTAAAGTATCTTTGTAAAAAAGCAATGGTGTAGAATTGTTTGCTGAGTCAGGATAAGGATCCTATGTAAGTTTGCTTCCCTATATAAAGGGACTTAGGTCAAGAAGTGAAGGCAGAGTTGGAAGAGTTAGCTAGAGAATTGCTCTGAAAGCATTAGAGAGTCCTTTAGAGAAAAATACTCACCTTAAGAGACAGATTGGTTCTCCATCTCTCTTAAAGTACAGAGAACTCTAGTTCAGCTTATGTCTATTTAAGCTTTCAGTTTGTGTGTTTGTTGTAATATATGAGTGTTGTAATCTTTTCAAATTAAATAAAGTTTCGTTCAAGAAGGGAACGTTATCCCCTTGAACCTTATATATCAAATGAGTTATCTGTCTATTTAGTTCCATCATAAACACAATAAGGATTGTCTAATTAGAGATTACAGTCTAAGGTAGGAAACGAATCAGATCTGTGCTGAGCCTGATCTAAGGAAGACAAGGTTGGGGTTAGCTACCTTGATAAAGCCGGAAGCTCATAACGCCGGAGGTTCCATTGTCGACTAAGTTCAGGTATTGGTCAAAACTCTCTAGTTAAATAACTATTATTGCGAAGCATGGTGGGCTTTTAAACTGTTAAAATAATTTATTTTGATGTATAAGTAGTAGAGTTGTGATAACTAGTACCGTTAAAAGTCATTTAAAGTAATTATCAGATCGAATTATAGTAAAAATCAGTGTATTATTAAAAACTGTTATTTTAAATTAAGGTACTGTTATTAATTTATCAAATACTGTTATTAAGTCATTAAGTACTGTTACTTATTCTAAATAAAAGATACCAAAAAAAAAAAAAATCTGACGTCACTTGATATTGGACAGGGTAGCCTATACCGGGTAGCGGTATATCATCCCCCATCAATCCACAAGGCGGGAAGACATGTTTTCACGGATAAATGGCGGGAATTTTTTCACTGTCTACGTTTCTTTATTTTCAATACAATAAAAATACTACGTAAATAAATAAGTCCTAAAATATTCCTACTCTTTTCTCACTCATCATTTTTGTCATTTTATAAACCACAAAAAAAAAAAAAAAAAAAAAAAAAACTCATACTAGTACTTGTTTAGCAGGTCTACTTGTTTCTTTCTCGCTTTCCCTAATTCGCTCTTCCAATTCAAAACCCTCGGTCTCGGAGCAGTCAAAAAGTACCGAGCCTTTCTTCAATGGCGAAACCCTCCAAACAGCGCTCTTCCTCTTACGATGCTTCCAATTCGTCGGAAGAAGAACAAGTTAACGACCAGATCGATGAAGATGACGATGAAGAGCTCGAGGCTGTTGCCAGACCCGTCGATTCCGACGAAGATGAACCCGAGGATGACGTTCCCGCCGCCGACGATGAGGAATTTGAGGTTTCTTTTTTCTCTCTTGTCATTTCCAGGGTTTTCAATTTGTTTTTTTAGATCTATCACATTTGTTTTTGTTTTTGTGTTATTTAGGGTTAAGTATGAATTTCAAATTTAGGTTTTTTTTTATGATTTTTTGTTTGTGTTACTTCATGTTGTGTTGTGTGATGGTATTTTTGTTGATTATTTCGTGCGTGTATTCTTGGTTTTCTTACATGTTTCGATTTTTGGTGGCTTGAATAAATGTGGTAGGATGTAAACGCTGGTAATACCGAACTTTCGAAGCGCGAAAGGGCGAGGTTGAAAGAAATGCAGAAGTTAAAGAAGCAGAAGATCCAGGAAATTTTGGACAAACAGAATGCTGCTGTTGATGCTGATATGGTGCGTTTGATTTCTACTAATTGTGTCGTATTTTCCAGCTTTGGTCATATTTATTGTTATTAAGTAATCACTTTTATTTTTATGATCTTGTTGGTAGAATAACAAAGGCAAGGGGCGGTTGAAGTATCTTCTACAGCAAACGGAGATATTTGCCCATTTTGCCAAGGGTGAACATTCTGCCTCCCAGAAGGTTAAGGGAAGGTATGGTTAATCTTATTCATTGTACGCCTAGTACACCTAATTTTTCGCTGTTGTGTATATAATTGGGTCCAAAATTATGTAGAAGGGACGCTATGGTTATTTATTGTATGCCTTGTATACATTATTTTGTCGCTGTTTCGATATATGGTTAAGTTGCTTGCCTTTTTGAGTATGTGGAGATAATCATGAGTGGATTATGAGTATATAGAAATGTATGATCCTCTTCGTGTTGATACATAATCTGGTAAAAATATTGAAAAATACCGGGCGAATCCAATGTGGTTTATAATCTTGTGGAGGTGATTTATAATGTCGTGGAGGGTTGCTTACTTAGAAAATGGTGGTCATATAGTATAGGGCGGTAAATGGGAGAACTATGCTTATCAAGTTACCTATAAGGTAATTATGCTTAAAAACAGGTAATTGTGCTCATAATTTGCTTACTTTATTTATTAAATTTTGGGTGAATTGCCCCTAAACAGTGCTTCCTATTGCATCAAGTATTGAACTTGGAAGGGTAAAGACAATGGCTTAGTTTCTTATGCGAATTTTAGAGTCCATATTATACTTTGTTTAGGTCACCTTAATGAGTTTCTGGGCATAAATGGGAAATGCATGCTCAATAAAGTAAAAGGTAAGTCTGTTTCAACGGAAGGGTACTTGTGCTCCTCAAGATTTGCATTATCATTTGGGCAAAGGGAATTGATAAATTACCCAATATAGATCCATATAGAGTGTTTCTTGAAGTACTGACATGGAAGGGTAAAGGCAAATGTTGCTTGATTTGTCATGAGCATTTCATTGCATACATAATGAAAGTGGTTGTTACCTTTATGTGAGTTTCTGAGCAATAACGGTAGAAATATTCTTACTATGAGCTAAAAGGTAAGTGTGCATAAACGAAAAGGGTAACTGTGCTCCTCAACATTATCTTTGTTATTTGGTCAATTTAGGATAGGGGAATAAGTGAATTGCTCCTTCTTGTACAGAACCTTGATGGGTAACGGCAATTAGGAAAGTGTTTACTTGCTTGATTTGAAGTCCATATTGTACTGTGATTACGTCACCTTAATTTGAGTTTTGAGCAGCATTTGTTTAATTTTTTTTTTCCCCTTTTTATGTGGTGTATGGGATTTTCTAATTTTATCAATCTGCCTCTTTACGTGTTTTTGTATGCTAATTTTAGGGGTCGCCATGCATCTAAAGTTACTGAAGAAGAGGAAGATGAGGAGTATCTTAAGGAGGAAGAAACTGGACCTTCCAATACAAGGCTGGTCACTCAGCCTTCATGTGAGTTCTGCTCTCCTTGGTCAATTACTTAACTCTTAAGATTTAATGTAACTTGGCTTCACCGGGAACTTCCATTTTAAGTGCTTTGTGGCAAGGTTCATGTATTAAACCTATGGAGTTGTTTATAGTGAATGCCTATTCAGTTTTCTCTTGTAGCATCTGATTTAGTTTTTTCATTGGAGCATCTTTTGGTTAAGAAACTATTTATTTGTTTTAGTTTTAGCCTAAACAAGAGATATGTTGAATGGGAATTCACTAATATTATAACATATGGAGATTGTTATAGTTTTAGCCTTTTGTTTCATTATATGTTTACAATTTTGCAAATCACTTTTTCAAAACAACATATGGAGTATGTAATGGCAGGAGTTTGGTATAGGAATAACTGTATGTGCTTGCATATGACTTTTTTTTTCCTCATATAAGCAAGCTGTTCTCACTTGAACCCTTTCTTCATGTATGTATGCACATTTTGTACTCATTTATTTATCCTGATTTTGTTTTTTTTTTTTCTTCCTTTTTCAGGTATTCAAGGGAAGATGAGGGACTACCAGCTTGCTGGATTGAATTGGCTCATCCGTCTGTATGAAAATGGTATAAATGGAATCCTTGCTGATGAAATGGTAAGCAATAAACTTGTACCCCCTTAATGTTTGAATTTGTGTAGCATTGTTTTCTCTTTTATTTCAATTAGCTTTATTATTCTGAGAGTTATATTGCTGCTATGATTAATTTGCTGTCTGTATGTCTTCTTCCTAATAATAGGGTCTTGGTAAAACCTTACAAACTATCTCCTTGTTGGGCTATCTTCATGAATTCAGAGGAATTACTGGGCCTCACATGGTTGTTGCTCCGAAATCAACCCTTGGAAACTGGATGAATGAAATAAAACGATTTTGTCCAATTTTGCGTGCTGTGAAATTTCTTGGAAATCCTGATGAAAGGGTAAGCCTGGATTTTCTGTTTATGGATTTTTTATGCTGTTCTTGTCACATTTGATGTTCACTGATGATTTACTGCTGTGTGTTTTTGATTATATTCACAGAGACATATACGTGAGGATTTGTTGGTTGCTGGAAAGTTTGACGTCTGTGTCACTAGTTTTGAAATGGCAATTAAAGAGAAGACCACTTTACGCCGATTTAGTTGGCGATATATTATCATTGATGAAGCACATCGAATCAAAAATGAAAATTCTTTGCTTTCAAAAACAATGAGACTCTTTAGTACTAATTATCGTTTACTCATCACTGGAACTCCACTTCAGGTAATCTTTTGGGTCTCTGCATTGTTTGGGTGTTGTGCAAATCTAAGATGATGTAGATTGTGATAGTTGTGAAGAGTGAAGTTGACAGTGTCCCTTTATATTGTATTTCAAGCACTCTGTGTGCTGTTTGCTAGTGTTCCTAAGCTTTGATTTGAGTCAAATGATAAAGTTCCGTTGAGAGTTGAGACCAATTGGAAGTACAGAATATAAAGTTTGCCCTGACAGTCCATTTGAAATTTAAATTGAATACCTCTGTTTCAATAAAACAGGCTGCATTTTCCAAGTTTATTTCAGTTATGTAAAGATGTTATTGTAGGTTTTTTTTAATAAGAAATGTGGTATTTTTTTTTTTTTTTTTTTTAAAATTATGGCCAAAAACTCAAATCTGATTAAGTTTTATAATAATTCTGGCCCATTTGACTTTTTACGGTCTCCAAAACATGTCTTAACTCTTAAAACATTTTTACCATTTTCATACGTGTAAAAATTATAAAAACTTGACATTAATCAAATAAACAACAAAACAAATCCAACAAGATCCCACATGATTATATTATCTCTTATAGATTAACAATATTTTATGGTCTAAGATTTTTAAGTTAGATGCAAATTTTTGCAATGGGGTTAAAAACAAAGGGAGGGAGGGTGGGAGTATTATTTAAGCAAGGTTTACTTTTTACAGAATCTTTGTACTAGGTTTTACTCCTGTTGTGTGTTAAGACTTGTTATTTCGAGGCTCATTAGCTATGATAGAAAAAGACAGCCAATACATACTTAACTATGTGTATGATTTGGTGGATCTCTCACTTATGTGTCTGGTTTTGTAATACAGAATCAAGTTTCTTAGAGTTCATATGGCATCGCCGTGGTTTTCTGTCTTTTGGTTTTTTGTTTTTCGAACTCATGTGATATACTACCTCCTTTTTTATTTAGTTGACATGTTTTGACTTTAGCATTATTCACACACCTCTCTTTGACCGTGTTTTGTGCTTTATACGTAATGAAAAATATAATCATGTGGGATCTTGTTAGATTTGTCACGTTATACACTTTCAAAATATCAACTTTTCATAGTTTTTGCTTATCAATAATTAAAGATAGGAAAAATTGATTCTAATAATCCCACCTTTAGCCGGTTCGTCGTTAATAATCCCACCTTTAGATTATTATTTAATAATCCCACCTTTATAGCGGATCTTCTTCTATTGGTCCCTCATGACCGGTAACCTGAACAACGGGTAAACTTTTTTTTTTAAAAAATTTGAGTGACACATGTCACTAAATTATTGGTAAAAAAATGGTGTAAAAAAAAACCTAATTTTTTTTTTTTAAAACCAAGCCAGCCCCAACGAACACCTTAAGGTCCCTAACCCCGACCTCCGGCAGCCCCTCCTCCACCGCTGAACCCCCATCCCCACCACCTGAACCTCGTTCCCACCTTTCCCTGACAAAAACTGGCTCGATTCCAACCCTCACCCATGAAAACCGTCGAAGCCCTTAATTTCAAGGAATTTAAAAAAAAAAAACAATGAATTTATTTCAAGAGATGGCTTGAGGTTGAATTTGGGTAAGAGTTTCAGGGATTTCCGGTGGTATACGGCGGTTTAGGGGATTGTCGGCGAGTAGAGGGGGTTTCGGCGGTTGGGTGGGACTTTAGGGTGGTGGCTGTGGTGGTTTTGGGGGATGGGATTCGGGTTAGGAGATGATTTGGGGGGTTGATTTTGGTCGGTGGTGGCTGTGGTGGTTTCGGTAATGGGGGGTTCCGACTGGCCATTTTCAGGGGTTTGGGTGGCAGCCGGCTGGTTTTTGTGGGGCTGAGGTAAGGTTAGGTGGGTGGAGCCGAGGAGGTGGCTGGTGGGTTTTTTTTCTTTTTATTTCAGTTTTGTTTTTTATTTTTTCTGTTTTGTTTTTTATTTTTTCAGTTTTTTTTTTAGGTTTTATTTTTCAACCAATTAAAACACGACACATGGCATATTAACCTGTAAAAACCGGTTATCAACTGGTTAGGGACCAACAGGAGAAGATCCCCTATAAAGGTGGGATTATTAAATAATAATCTAAAGGTGGGATTATTATCAGCGAACCGAACAAAGGTGGGATTATTAGAATCAATTTTTCCTTAAAGATATTAATGATTGAATAAGTGCATTGGCAAACGTGACTAAAGAAACGTGTCAACTAAAAAGAAACGGAGGAAGTATGTCATAAAATGATACAAAAATTAGACAAACTTATTAAAATCTTGATAATTTTGAAAACTGACAACAGAAAATTGAAAACACCTTTAGGTTCTTGCTTTTTAGTTTTTTGTTTTTTAAAAAAAGAAAACTGAAAACAAAAAACAATGCCAAATAAGCCCTTAATTTTTTAATTTTGCTAAATTTGAATAATTTTTATTTAACTGGTTGGTTGAAAATTGTTTTTGTGAATTTTTTGTTGATATTTATATTGTTTGCAATCTTTTATTTTTGATGTTCAGTGAATGAGATCTTATCTATGTCTTATTTGTTGATAATTTGACCTGATGCACCTTGTTCCAAGTAGTCTAAATACTAATATTATGCAATATTCTTCTGAACTGCAGAACAATCTCCATGAATTGTGGTCACTTCTCAACTTCTTATTGCCAGAGATTTTTAGCTCCGCAGAAACATTTGACGAGTGGTTTCAGATTTCCGGGGAGAATGATCAGCAGGAGGTCGTTCAACAACTCCATAAGGTAAGTCAAAGGTTAGAAGAGTATCTGTATATCATTTTATTTTCTCTTTACTTCTGTTGCCTAACATATGTAGTTCTGCATTCTATAGGTTCTCCGGCCCTTTCTTCTTCGGAGGCTGAAGTCAGATGTTGAGAAAGGTTTACCTCCAAAAAAGGAAACGATTCTTAAAGTGGGCATGTCTCAAATGCAAAAACAGTACTACAGAGCATTGCTGCAGAAGGATCTTGAAGTTGTTAATGCTGGTGGAGAGCGCAAACGGCTTCTTAACATTGCAATGCAGCTACGTAAATGCTGTAATCACCCATATTTATTCCAAGGTGCCGAACCTGGTCCTCCATACACCACAGGAGATCATTTGGTTACCAATGCTGGTAATTCTCAGTGAATAATGATACTGTGATTTGCTCCTTTTATGTGGCATTGTTGACTGATGAATCTTCATATTCTATTTATTGCAGGCAAAATGGTATTGCTTGATAAGTTGCTTCCAAAGCTGAAGGAGCGTGGCTCTAGGGTTTTAATATTTTCACAGGTATATTTTTTAAAACCTAGGTCTTTGCTTTTGTAAATTACTGTTTCTAGTCTTTTGTTGCCTGCTCTATGATTCCATGATTTTTGTTGAGATTTTGGTATGTCATCTAACTGTTTATGCTCGGCAACCAACATCAGATGACAAGGCTACTGGACATTTTAGAAGACTATCTCATGTATCGTGGACACCAATATTGTCGGATTGATGGTAATACCGGTGGAGATGATCGAGATGCTTCCATTGAAGCTTTTAACAAGCCAGGAAGTGAAAAGTTCGTTTTCTTACTCTCAACACGGGCTGGAGGTCTTGGTATCAATCTTGCTACCGCAGATATAGTCATTCTGTATGACAGTGACTGGTGAGAACTCTTGTGTAAATCAATGAAACCTTTCCCCTCTTTTTTGCTTGTTGATGGTGTTGTGAGTTTACTTGCTTGCCGTCTTTGTTGATACTTGCAACACATTTCAGGAATCCACAAGTTGATTTGCAAGCACAGGATAGAGCTCATAGGATTGGTCAAAAGAAAGAGGTTCAAGTGTTTCGTTTTTGCACAGAGGTTTGTTCATTTTCTGTACTTATATCTAGGTTAAGCATTCTTCATTGATAATTATCAAGATATGAACTTGCTTTGATATTTTGTGAACAGTATACCATTGAGGAAAAAGTCATTGAAAGAGCTTATAAGAAACTTGCGCTTGATGCTTTGGTTATTCAACAAGGACGACTAGCTGAGCAAAAAAGTAAGATGTTTTGTATTGAGGTACATAATAATTTCTTGTGTTTAATGACTTGTTGACTTATACTTGTGGATTTGTGCAGCTGTTAACAAGGATGAGCTGCTCCAAATGGTGAGATTTGGTGCTGAAATGGTTTTTAGCTCTGGGGACAGCACAATTACAGATGAAGATATAGACCGAATTATTGCGAAGGGAGAAGAGGCAACTGCTGAGCTGGATGCAAAAATGAAAAAATTCACAGAGGATGCCATTAAATTTAAGATGGACGACAGTATGTGGTTTACTTGAATCTGGTATTTTAAGAATAGCCTGCATCTTTTTTGTTTATTAAGCAAGCTGGACTGATTTATGTATCCTTTGCTTCTTCACAGCGGCTGATCTATATGATTTTGAGGATGAGAAGGTAGGAATACTATTTGTGTCTTGTGCTCAATCTTTCAACTTGAGCTAGAGGTTATAAGCTAATTCTGTTCCTTTTTTTTACTGCTCTTAAAGGATGAAACCAAGGTGGACTTCAAGAAACTCGTGAGTGATAACTGGATTGAACCACCAAAACGAGAGAGAAAGCGGAAGTACGTATTTGCATTTTGACAGCAGCTTTTGATATTTGTTCCCTGTGCCTAATCTTGTTTTTCACATTCCTGTGGCTTGTACAGCTATTCAGAATCAGAATATTTTAAGCAAACTATGCGCCAAAGTGGTCCTGCTAGGCCTAAGGAGCCTCGTATACCTCGCATGCCTCAGTTGTATGGCTTATCTTAAATTGTTTGCATCTTATTTTCTAATTTCTCCTGGTCATTTTTTTAGTGGTTGGAGTCAATAGTCAACTTATTTATGTTTCTACTCAATTTTAGGCATGACTTCCAGTTTTTCAACACTCAGAGGCTTAATGAACTCTATGAGAAGGAAGTGCGCCATCAAATGGTGGGTTGTCTTATTATATGTACTCCTTTTTATATATCAAGCATTTAAGCATGAATTAACTTATGTTCTATCTGTTCAGCAAGCACATCAAAAAAATCAGATAAAAGATTCCATAGAAGTGGATGAGCCAGATGGTATGTTATTTCTGCGTTTAAATCTGTTCAAATCCGTTTCATTTTCTGTTGCTGATGAAGTTTTTGACTACAGAAATGACGGATCCCCCCCTGACTGCTGAAGAACAAGAAGAAAAGGAGCGTTTGTTGGAAGAGGTAATCCTGATTTCACAGCCCCCTCTTTCCAGATTTTATGAGAACACAGAAAGCCTTTTTTGTATCATTAGTCAATGATTTATTAAATGGTTTGTTTGCTGCAGGGCTTCTCTACATGGGCTAGAAGAGATTTTAATACTTTCATAAGGGCTTGTGAGAAGTATGGTAGGACTGACATAAAAAGCATTGCTGCGGAGATGGAAGGGAAAACATTCGAGGAAGTTGAAAGATATGCTAAAGTTTTCAAAGAGAGATATAAGGAGTTAAATGGTGATTCCACTTCTACCTTCTCTAATCTTCTTATAACATCTAGTTCCTGCTGAATTCTATGTGAAATCTAAAGTGTCTGCTGTGGTCATAGATATAGGCTGTTCTGTGATATTTAGTCAGCCTTATCTTTGCATCTTTCCTGGGTTTGACTTGGATGAATTGACTAATGATTTTCCACTTTATTTATTTATTTATTTATTTATTTATTTATTTATTTATATATATACTTTCTCCATTTTCTTTTACTTGCAACACTTTCCTAAAAAAGAAATGTCACAATACTTGCAACACACTATAAAAGGAAAGTTATTTTAGGGAAAAACTATATTATTTTCCTTATTTAAAGCACATGATCCACTAAATTACACTATTTTAAAGTTTATTATATCATGCAAACTCCACCTTTCTTAATTACCGCGCTAAAGGGTGTGTTGCATCTAAAAGAAAACGGAGGAAGTATGTATTAACAGCATAACTCTTCTGTGCTGATTTGGTTCCATTTATTAGATTATGACAGGATCATTAAGAATATTGAACGGGGGGAAGCTAGAATATCCAGGAAAGATGAGATTATGAAAGCAATTGGGAAGAAGCTGGATCGCTACAAGAATCCATGGTTGGAACTGAAGATCCAGTATGGTCAGAACAAAGGGAAGCTGTACAATGAAGAATGTGATCGCTTCATGGTAAAAATTCTCTTTTTCTTTGTTTTCGTGCCATGAGGTTTTTATACATTTCATGCCCACCTGACATCATTGAAAATCTGGATAGATTTGCATGGTTCACAAACTCGGATATGGGAATTGGGATGAATTGAAGGCTGCTTTCCGAACATCTCCATTGTTCCGGTTTGATTGGTTTGTTAAATCCCGCACCACTCAAGAACTTGCTAGGAGATGCGACACCCTAATTCGTCTGGTTGAGAGAGAGAACCAGGAGTATGATGAGAGGGAGAGGCAAGCACGTAAAGAGAAAAAGCTTGCGAAGGTTCGTTGAGTTCTAATTGTTGAATCTTCTCTGCTGACTGCTTATCCTGCTTTCCACCCTTTATTTGCTTGATTACATATTTTGATCTTTATTTAATGTCATTTGTTCTTTACTCTTGCAGACTGCTACACCCTCTAAACGAGGTACAGCTCGTCAGCAAGCTGAAAGCCCCACATCTTCCTTGAAGAAAAGGAAACAGCTAACAATGGATGATTATGCTGCTGCGGCTGTATGTTTCTATAATTAAGACATGGCCTTTTTGATTTATCAGTTTTCAGAGGATACTTACCGACTGTGAGCTGATGTGCTTTAAATTATTTGTGCAGGGGAAGAGGAGAAAATAGTGGCATTTTTTTAACCGTGCAAAGCCTATGTTTTGCCACCAATTATTTTGGCTATTGTCTTGTCAGAGCACATTATATTTGCTCTGGCTCTGATGTAGTAATGAAGCTACCCTTTTTTAGGTTGGTTTTGTAGCTTAGGGGGTGGTTCTTTCTTTAGGGCTTATGGTTACATTGTATAGTTAATAGTTTTGAGAAACCGTCCTTGATGTAACGCTTAAGTGATGAAATGTTTATCAGATTTCTTTTACTAAAGTTCTAACTGCATTAAATTTCCATTAGTCTTCATGTGATGTTTTATATATCTATGATTAGTCTTTAGACTGTTCTCAACTACTTGTATCCAGGGCACTAGAACCAGGCAAAGAAGGGACATGATAGATCATATCCAAGTTAGACTCTCGAGTATAATACGTATTTCTCTCTGGTCGTGAGATTTGAGTGTGCTCAAGAATTGTGTGCTATGTGGGGAGGAGGTAGAAACTATATCAATCAATCGAGAGCTTGTTATATACATCCCCCCAGTGAACTGTTCAGCGTTCACACATGAGTAGTATGTTCTTATTAGATAATTGTTTTTTATTTAATTATCAAATGAAGAGTAAAGACTAATCTTGATTTAGTTGGGTGTACGATACATCCGGGTGTATATAACAAATTGTACAATTAGGGGAGTGCAGTGTATCAAAGAGTGGAGCGCAAGACTTTTAGGGGTAAAATTCATTTAGTTACAACCTCTCAACGGAATGAGGTTGCTGGATCCGAAACACGGTCTCTTGCTTACTAAAAGGGAAAAAAGGCTACATCATGGCAAGAAAGATTTTTGCAGCTACAATCTGGGCAATTTGGTGTCGTACAAATGACATCAATTTTGAAGTCATGAGTGTTTGTTAGGTCACAAAAGAAACTGAAGCTATGCACGTCGATAGATGGTGGACATCCAATAATTCTTAGCTGGACTATGACTTATTAAATGAACATTTAGTAAAAAATTTAAACACATAAAAAAATTATGAACATTTAGTAATAATAATAAAAATGAACAATTAATGCCAAAAAGTGATTAACTGAATACGTAAAAAAATAAAATAAAATACATTGTTATCATATAATCATAGAATTGCTGAACCACGACCTATAAAATAAGCATCTAGTAAAAAATATGAACATTTAGTGATACATCTAAGCACCGTTCCAAAAAAAAAGGTAATAAATATGAATATGTAAATAGCTTAAGTGATTAGGGCTGCTCTCCAGGCTCTAGGTAATCCATGAATTGATTCTCATCACTCGTTCTTGTGCCTCTCTACAAAAAAAAAAAAAGGGTAAAGTTGAACATGTACAAATATGAACACATACTCACATAGTATATTAGAATGAGCATGTAGATTAAAAGTGAGCATGATTATCTATATTCATATAAGTTCAATTTCAACATATAAGAAGTATAATTATTAACGAAAAATTTAGATAAAATAAATCGTTTAAATTATCTTCATTATAAATAGTTGTATGATCATATATAATAGGAAAAATTGCCCGAAATAATCCTACCATTGGGGCGTCCGCTAAATATAATCCTACATTTGCATTGTTTTTAAATAATCCCACCTTTATCCTCAATCCGTTCAAAATGGTCCCAAGTAACCTGCAATCGGTTGAATAAGTTTTTATTTTTATTTATTTATTTATTTATTAAGTTTAATTTAAATGTGCCACTACGTGATTGGTCAAAAAATAAGTTTTAATTTAAATTTTTTTCAAAGATGATTATCAGAGTAATTAACATTAAGTAATTCTTTTAATAAATGATTAAAAATTCAAACAAACACCACCAGCCCAATCCACCTCTACGCTACCACCATCGACCCAGACCAAAGCCTTCGTCGCTCTCAGATCTGCGTCGATCGCCGCTCCTCCCCTTACCCCCTTCCGTCGTCTTTAAACTGACGGTGAAGCCAAAACATTTCCTGGTAACTATGGTGATGCCGAAATTGATGGTGAAGCCCGAATTTGATGTTGATGGCCAAAATTGATTCTTTGGAAGGGGATAGGGGCCGGAATAGGACGAGGGAAGGGGTTTGGGTTGAAATCCATGTGGGAGGGGATTGAATCAAAAATTGGGCTGAGGGAAAGGGGAGGGGCCAGAAAAGGAACATGGGAAGGGGAAGATGCCGGAAAACGTGGTGGGGAACAGGAGGAGGCCGAAAATGGGATGGCGGAAGATAAGTGGTTGTCGGCGCAACAACCTCCCAGCGGTGGCGACAGGGGCTGCAGGCTTGGTGTTTTTTTTTCATTTTTTTTTTACTTTTAAATTTTTTGATTTAACTTTTTTTATTTGACCAATCACAAGCCGCCATGTGTCAAGTAACTTGGTATAACAAGTTAAATGACCGGTTGGGTCCATTTTGAGCGGATTGAGTATAAAGGTCGGATTATTTAAAAATAATCCAAAGGTGGATTATTTTAGGTGGACACCCCAAAGGTGGGATTATTCTGGGAAATTTTCCTACATAATAATGTACTAAATGTTCATTTTATAAGTACTACATGTTCATTATTTTAAGGATATTTTGACATTTGGTACCTTAAATGACTTTTGGTACCCATCTAAAATTTTATTTTATTTTGGTTCCTATCCAAGTTACAAAATATAGATTTTGGTACCACTTAACAAAAATTGTTAGGGTTCCGTTAAGTAAGGCCCATCATCTAATTAATTAATGATTTAATTTATTAAAAAGAAGAATTTTTTTTTTAAAAAATCCAAACCAGTGCCACCCTCACCTTTCCTCGTCAGCCACTCTTCCCCTTCCCCGTGCCAGCTACTGGTGCCCAACGTTCCCTCAGTGCCGGCGAATGGATGAGTGTCATTTATGGCACTTATTTGACTTCATTTTGGATAATTCTTAGTTGTTTTTATAGCTATTTTTATGTTGTTTTCTCTAGTTTTAGCCTTAATTTCTTTAGTTAGTTCATTCTTAGTTGTTTTCTCCTTCTCTCTTGCATTTTCTTAGTTTATAGTGCTTTTCCTCTTTTATTTGTTTGTTTTTATTTGTTCTCAAAAGAGAGGTGGTATCCAAAGCTCTCCATGGCTTTTACTCGGGTTTTATGATGCTCAAGTGTTGACTGTTGATTTGGGGTATTTAATACCACCAAGTGGACCAGTGAGAGAGAGAGACACATGTCATTCTGAGAGGCGCCCAAATGGACGACACGTGTCACTCAGATATGCCCCCTGGGAATGGCAGCCTTCAAGGCCCAAATCCCAAGGGGCGCCGCAAAACGGCGCTGCCCTATTCCCTAGGTCATCAAACCCTAGGGTAGGGCACATTTTCCTAGGACCCTATTAATAGGGAGATTCCCCCAATTATTGGGGCACCTTGAACTTTGAAACTTTCACACCTGGAACTTTAAGTCTTAATCATGAAGGCATTTATTACTCTCTAAAACAAAGCTTGGAATCCGGGCAGATAACTTACTTTCCGCACGTTTTACTCCGATTCCGTACTAACTTAATCTTCGGAGGCAGACCTCCGACCATTCGGAGCTCCGTTTGTTTTGCAGGTACAAGCGCCCTTGTCGAATCCAGTCTTCGAGTTGGAACTCTCCCAAGGGACATAAAAACACCTGAAACATTTGGCACCATCTATGGGGAGAGTACCTCTAAGATGGCTTCACAAGATCAACCTGTGCCGCCTCTAGAGACCAATCGGCCTCCGGAAGAGGTGTTGGTCCAGTCGGATCATGATTCTAGTGACGATGGAGACATCGAAACCTATGTGGCCCAGGATGGGTCCCTGATCTCTAAGCGCATTCGTCATAAAGTTAGGCGGGAGCACAACACTAACAAGGCGGGTCCAAGCAGGCCCCTTGGACAGTCAAATAAGCCCTCAGGGCAGCCGACTGATCCATCTCAGGCGGTAGGATTAGCTCCAGTCACCCGAGATGAGCTCACAAAATTCATGAGTAGCTTCAAGGGTGAAATTAAAGATTTGATCACCAAGCGATCGAGTGCTCCGAGAAAGGAACAGTCGGCCAAGAAACCAGCTCAGCTTGGAAAGCAGAAGTCGATTAGCTAGGTACCGTCAGCTGACTCCTCACCTTGCTCCAAAGGACAAGGCTCGACCCCAGATCTACCTCTCAAGAATTTGTTTCCCAGAAACGGTGGCCAGAAAAGCCATCCGGCATGTACAACCGGATGGTAGCAAGAAATCATTCTTTGATGCTCGACAGTACATCGAGGAGAAGAAGACCCAGCATATGTCAGAGTCGGCATCCACGTCGACTTATCATGATAGCTTTCAGAATACCTTTGTGAGGAATTCTCAATCTGTACGTGGGACCTCGTCAAACGGCTCCCTCGTCCAGTGGGGACCCCATGTAATCAACTCGACGTAGTATATGGAACAACCATTATATAGGTCGCCTGCTTTGCCCTACATCTAGCCTGCCTTCTTTGGAGGCCAGGCGGCATATAACTACCAGCCTATGGACTGACAGCTTCGATAACAAAACCTTCGGTAAAAAAACCTTCGGTAACAACCCTCAGCGTTTTCACGGGAAATAGCCGAGGCCGAACAGCCGGCCAAGGTTAAAAATGTGTTGGTTGGGACCTATGATGGTACCGCCAACCTAGAAGACCACCTTCTGGCATACACCCACCTCATGTACTTACAGGGGTTGGATGATGCCGCCTGGTGTTGGTGCTTTCCAGCCACCCTGAAGGGCATAGCCCAACAGTGGTTCGGTAACCTACCGGCTGGTTGCATTAATATCTTCAAGACGGTTGTATTCTTGTTTGCTTCTAACTTCTCTATGAACATCCCTGCAAAGAAAACGAGCCTTAAGCTAGGCCATGTGCAGCAAGGAGATAGAGAAGGGCTGCGATTATACGTCAAGCGGTTCATTTTGATGAGAATCCAGATCCAAGGATTGTATGACAAAGTGGCTTAAACAGACTTTTACAAAGGTTTGAAGGACAGGCCGACTTTCAAGTTCGAACTCGTCCGCAAGAAAATTTTCACCCTCCAAGGAGCCCTGATGGAGGCGGAAGCCTACATACAGGCGACCGAGCTCTGCTCCTCAAATAAGCAGTCGGACTCAAAGAAGTCTGACCAGCAGAAGGAAAGTCGGCCTGCTCAGCCGTCTCTAAAACCAGAAGAGAGCAAAAAGAAAAAAGAGATTTAGGCGGTTGATAACTCCGACCAGCCGACCCAGAAGAAAAAGAAAGAGTTGAAGCCGTACGTTCCAAGGTACGAATTCCAAAAGGACAG